GGAGGAGCCGCCGCCGCAGCATCCGAGCCCGGATTCCCGCGGCCTGGGGGGCGTCGTGCTCTGCGGTCTGTACCGCCAGCAGAACAGGATCCCATTTCGCGGAAGGGAGTTCGAGGTGGCGATGGTGGGCTGGGTGGGTCGGGGGGCGCAGGCGTACAACGGGGAGGCCCAGAGGAGGAAGGACGCAGGACAGATGCACGGCGCCTGCTTTCCCTCCCGCCTGCGTGTGCTCCGCCGCCGGGTCCGGACCCGGCCCGCCTGGGGGCCGCTGACCCGTTGGACGACGGCTGTACTACGACTTCCCGGAAGCCGCCACCCTCGTCAAGTCCTAGTCTTGGCCCCGGCTCTCCTGGCTTTGGAGGCCACAGCACCTTCGGGGTGCCGCCTCGCGGCCCTCCACGCATGTCTTCCCCCCACTGCGCTCCTCCCTCCCTCGGGAATCAGCCACACCCACTCCCCCAGACGCCTTCGCGCATGGGCTTTAATCGAACTTTGGGCCACACGGTAATTCAAGTTTTGGAAACCCATCTTATAATAATGCACTAAGTCAGAATGTTAACATGCCTGATCAACATTTTAGACAAAATCCTGCTGAAAACTTCGATCAGATCCCTCCACAGAATGCTAGCCAAGTAACTGACCCGGACTTAGGTCTTTGTCCCTGGAAATAATTCAAATTTTACTTCTCCATTAGAATCCAATCATTCTTTTATTCCTTCCCCAAACACTTTTGGTCGAGCAAAAGCACCACCCCAAACACAAGACTTTAGTCAAGGAGCAACCAAAAACACTCATCAAAATTCCTCTGCTCATCCACCTCACTTAAATATGGATGACACAGTGAATCAGAGTAATATCGAATTAAAAAATGTCAATTGAAACAATGCAGTAAATCAAGAAAATAGCCGTTCAAGTAGCACTGAAGCTACAAACAACAGCCATTCAAATGGAACACAGAACAAGTCACGACAACCTAGAGCTACAGCAGATGCATGCACCACTGAAAAAAGCAATGAATCCTCTCTCCACCCAAGCCGTCATGGCTATTCTTCTTCTGACCCAGTGTATCCTTGTGGAATTTGTACAAATGAAGTGAATGATGACCAGGATGCCATCTTATGTGAAGCCTCTTGCCAGAAATGGTTTCACCGGATCTGCACTGGGATGACGGAAACAGCTTACGGCCTCCTAACTGCAGGAGCATCAGCAGCGTGGGGCTGTGGTACTTGCATGGCTGACAAAGATGTCCAGTTCATGCGCACCAGAGAAACTTTTGGTGCACCTGCAGTGGGCAGTGATGCGTAATCACAGGCATTAACTGTAGTGAGGTCTTTTCCTGCATATTACAAAAGTTCAGTACACAGGACTTTAATGTTTTACATTATTTTTTTAAGTGCACACAGAAAAGATTATTTACCTTTTAGTTTTTATTAATTTCCACTTCATTACTAGTGCAAATTTTGTATTGTCTTTATCTTAAATTAGAATAATGTATATGAGGGTGCTTTAGAAAGTACTATACAAATAAATGTTAGTTGTTAATCATAAAAAAAAAATCATGGTTGCTATGGTGTGCCTATTACCTTTATTACTTACAGTGACCTTTCTAAAAGATAGTGGGTAACCATTATCATATGGTAAGGGCCCAACAGTTTAGGCACATTATGACTAAACAGATAAATGAACATAGAAAAATATAATCTTACCCTTAGAAGGATTCTGATTTCTTATTCAATAGCAGATTGAGTTTCTGGACTCAGTTTCCCTGTATCACAGTAGGTCCTAACTCCAAGCTAAAACAAGTGGGAACAAAGAAGCTTAACTGAAAAATCCAAAATCACTAGTAAATGTAACAAAGGAAGTACTATCTTTTACATAAGGAAACAAATATCACGAATCTGGGCAAGCTGTCACTGCATGTCACACCAAAGCTGCCGGGCCTGTCAGCAAGGCCACGCGCACGCTGCGGAGCCAACACTGGCACATGTAATGTCTTATAATTTTTTCTTTTCTTTCAAATAGCGCTCCCCAGAAGCTTATGTAGGAAATTGCTAATGAAAACATTAAAAAAAAAAGAAAATTCACCCACTTCCTACGTTTGTTGATACTTTCTTCTTTAACTTTCTGAACCAGCATGAAGTCAGAAATACTTGTGAAATTTAATCTAATAAAATGTTTTCTTAATATATATGCACTGGTGATCAGTGTACAAATGAACCAATGATGAGTGACTCGGTGTAAGGATAACTTCGGGGAACTTCGCTGAGCGCTCAGGGGGCTTCTCTCAAGAAGACGCCCTCCTGGGCAAAGCCATCTTCTCTGAGTTGTGGTTAACAGGTGAATTGAGGAAGAAACTGGTACTAATCAAAGGGTTTCCCACTTCCTTGGTCCCCAGCAAGATGCAAACCCTGCCTCCCCTGCTGTGAGTGTCAAGAGGTTGGAGGCAATGAAGTACGACCTCCAGGGATGGCCTGGCCCATAAAACCTTTCTACACGATCCTGCATGGCCTTTCCCCTTGTTTACCATGGCCTTTCCCCTTGTTTACCATGTACACCAAGGATATGGCACTCAGAGGGAAGGACAGTCACTGGACTGAGGAGTGTGGGTCACCAAACGGCTGTGTGATCAGAACTCCCCACCCAATCAGCCCGTCAGACTTAAGGTGAATGAAAACATTTATTATGTTAAGCAGCTTAAATTTGGAGATCACCTGTTACCACAATTAGACTAATTACAGAATACCGCTTACATCTATGGCTCTGCCAGTTGAGGGCCAGTGTCCTTTACAACTTCATTTGACCAGCAAGTGTTTACTAAGTATCAGCTGTGCGGCAATATCTTCCATCTCACAGGTCAGAGTCATCTTGTCCGGAGTGGTTCCTTTGAGGAGAACATGGGCGTGCAGGTCAGCCTCAAGCTGAGGGTCTTGGGGTCAGCCTGAGGGAGGGTGACCCAGAGGACAGAGGGGGAGGGAGGCGACATGTAAGTAGAGGTGGTCCCGGAAGAGGGAGACACCAGGTAGTACGAGGCAGCCGCCACCTGGGTGAGCCCTGAACCTCAGCAGCTGGGGGCCCCCCCACTGGCCAGGGCTCTGCAAGGGAGGTGCTCTGCAAGCCCCTTGGTCTCTCTGAGCCACAAGTCTTCACCTGTGAAATGGGCCCATCTGGACTCTCTCAGGGATGGGCTGCCAGCACTGTGCCTGCTGTGTTGGGGGTGGGGAGGGACAGGTGCTCACATGCTCTGTCCCTCTGAGTCCTTCTCTTGAGAGAAGAAGCCACACAATGAAGCCCCCAGACCTGCGGGAGTCCCCCCTTCCCCGGGAGGGCTCGCCTCCTCACCGCCTCGGCTCACCTCCGCCAGGAGCTCAGCACCAGCTCAGTCTCTCTCCCTGCTCCATTCTCTTCCATCATTTACAGGATTCCTTTTCGCTTTGGAGGTCAAAGAAATTTCATCATTCTTCTGAAAGGAAAAGATTGAAACAAAGTGGGAGCAAGACAGAAAATATGGCACCGTAAGTACAGTCCTGAGGACCGTCTGAGAGCCCCGGCAGTTCTTCCAAGCCCAGAAACGCACCATTCAGGGCTACCGTTTCTCCACGGAGCCATAATGTGCGGAAGAGAAGCAGGTGAATGGGGCAAAGTGGGCAGGCTCGGCAAGCAGGCCTGTCACATCACGTGACTAGAAAAGGCTGACCAGCTGGTCCTGTCATTCAGTTACCTCACGAGGTGATGGCCTGTTACTGTCTTAGCAGCTACAACAGAAAAAGAATGCTACCATTTTATTGCTCAGCAAATAATGTTCAGTTTAGAATAACCTGCCTCAAGTCCATTTGGAACAAGAGGGAGAAAGTAAATGTTAGCAATTTCTAATGAGAACCTTTCTCACAGACACTTGGCACAACATCATTTGGTACGTGAAGGAGGATTAAAATCACCATTTACCTTTTCACTCATTCCAAATTTGGTAACCATCCACTCTGATAGTTTAGTTGCATTATCAAAATCACTGGAGGCTCCTAAAATTTTAAAGTAAATGTAGAACTTAATTCTTTAAAATATCTTTAAGCCAGCAAAGACAATTTGAACTAAAGCCACGCTTGATAGCCAACCTGTTGTAATATGGTCAGTTCCAAATATCAGCTCCCCTGCCACTCATCCCACACTGACACCCATTTGTGCAAGGAGCTGAGCTCTAGTTTCATTCCATCTGTCACTCTCAGGCAACAGGGACACCTAGCAGTTGAAAAAAAAATTCAGACAGTTTGAAACATTTGTATTAATAACCAGAATGACCATTTGGCTCTCATTACACTACATCTTTAATAGCATGATGCTAAAAGCTACACATTTAGTAGAGATGGTCATCAGGTGACTGATGACAAAACCAGCAATATGTAAAACATGCAAACTTCCTTATAAAGCAAAACTGAATTTATAAATAACAGACAGGTAATGCTACAATAGGGCTGTTTAATCACTAGTTGCACAAAAATGTTTCAAATGTCTATAGTTCGAAACATGAGAATGAAACTTGTATTCAATGGAAAAAACCTTTGAAAATCTATTAAGTTATATGTAGCCTCTTGAAGGGAGGAAAAGAGCAATTACACATATTTAAGAATTACACTTTGCTGTCATTGTGGAATTAAATTTCATAATAAAGAGGCATAGTATCTGAAATATTAAGAAAAAATTTTATTATATTAAATTTCACAAGTATTTCTGACTTCATGCTGGTTCAGAAAGTTAAAGAAGAAAGTATCAACAAATGTAGGAAGTAGGTGCATTTTCTTTTTTTAAAAATGTTTTTTCATTAGCAATTTCCTACATAAGCTTCTGGGGAGCGCTATTTGAAAGAAAAGAAAAAATTACAAGACATTACATGTGCCAGTGCTGGCCCCGCAGCGTGCCCGTGGCCTTGCCGACAGGCCCGGCAGCTTGAGTGTAATGTGCAGTGACAGCTTGCCCAGATTCATGACATGCTGTGATGGTTTGATTTTTGTCATCGATTTCCACGCTTCTACATTCAGGCCCTAAGGATAAAATTTAATTGAGTAAAATTTCTCCATCAGGAAGGTATATTTAAGTAACTAAAACCCATCTGCTGTAGAGTCATTTTAGAGTAACATGACTTAATACCACTAATAAGTATTTTAGACCATAACAATCTGTCAACTGAAAGCCAACATTTTAAGATCATCTTAATCTTTGTATCAAGAGGGAGAGTGGAATTCTATTTTCAGGAGATAGACCTACTATTAATAGGAATGTCGTAACTAACCTATTAAAGCCAATTCAAGATTTAAAATTAAAATTAAATAGTGAGAATTAATAAAATTATTCTTTTATCAGCAGTATCCAACAAGGAGAAACACATGGGCAACTGTCGCTAAAGCGTATAATCATATAAACTACGCTTGTTCTGTAAGAGGCCAGGTGGTACTACTATTTTTAGATATATTTTTCCTTGTTCCTCTACCTTACCTTTCTTTTTCATAATAGTTTTACAAAAAAAAAAAAAGAATAATTTATTCTCCAACACCATGAACCGTGTTAAGACAGAAGGAAAAGAGGAAACCTACCCCTTAGGATTTCACCTGCGGAGAGCTCCAGCCCCTTCGCGGTGACCACTGCCTTCTCCACCAACAGCCGCCTTCCATGCAGCCTGGTTCACAAGACTCTCCAACCTGCGCCAGAAAAGCCAGCACGACCTTGAGCTGTTATGTCTGGATCAACAGCTACGAAGACAGAACACAGTATCAAAATTCCAAAGCAGCTAACACAAAGCTTTTCACAAAGAATTCACATTCCAAAAGAAAAAAAAAAAAGCCCTGTCAGACCTTAACTTATAATATTTATCTTAGTGAAACTACAATAACAAACTCAAAATTGCTATTAAAATTGCCATTGGGACAAACCAAGAGTTCCTAAATTTAAATAACGGTGAAAAACAAAGAAATGTAGAGTTCCCAACATGATTTATAAATCTTCAATTTGATCTATATTGTTACTAGCCTAACAAAAAGTTGAAAGTTAACCCGTAGACGGAATTTTTCTGAGTTTCATCTTGAAATACTTTGTATATAAAAGCCGCTCTTATCATAGGAAGCATTTACTTTTATGAACTGACTCAACTATCTTTGAAAATATTACAGCTTTAAAACTGTTTTTATTCAAGAGGATCCATAATATTTCCATGTGTTTATTTTACAGTTTGCTTTCCCCTCCTCTGGCTCCAAAGTGACTATAATTATACCACAAGGTACCTTGCTCATAAACATGTAAGTGCTTTTTCTATTATTTTATATTTTATATTCATCTTCAAGTATTATCTATCTGAACGCTCAGTAGAAAACTTTCTGTATAGACTCCAGAATTCGAAATCATAGAATCTCCTGGATATAATTAAGAAATAGACTTTTTTAAAAGAACATATATAAATGGAAAGAAAAACAGACATATAGAACTGGTATTTTAACAGTTATCAAACAGGGACCACAAACAGAGTGGACTGATAGGTTATCATTTCACAGACAATATTTGTGTTATGAAATCAGACTTACACTGATCAAACTTTATTTTACTGAGATCCAATTTCAAAATTTCTGTTCGACCTTTTACATCTTGTCCTGGAACTGTAACTTCCATGTTAAGATGGCCAGGACATATTAAGGCGCTAAAAAGAATACAAAGAGAAAACATAAAATAATGGGCTGACTGTGATGAAGGTCAAGTTAAACAGGACTGACACTCTCAAGAGACAATGGAAAGACAATGCAACCAGAGATTAGGCATATTTTTATTTTGGTTTCATTGATCTACAATTACATGAGGAACATTATGTTTACTAGACTCTCCCCTTCACTAAGTCCCCCCACATACTCCATTAGTCACTGTCCATCAGCCTAGTAAGATGCTGTAAAATCACTCCTTGTATTCTCTGTGTTGCACAGCCCTCCCCGAGCACCCCCACACATTATACATGCTAATCATAAGGCCGTCTGTCTTCTTCACCCCCCTTATCCCTTCCTTCCCACCCACCCTCCCCAGTCACTTTTCCTTTGGTAACTGTTAGTGTCCATTCTTGGGTTCTGTGATTCTGCTGCTGTTTTGTTTCTTCACTTTTTTTTTCTTTCTTCTTTTACTCCACATATGAGTGAAATCATTTGATACTTGTCTTTCTCCACCTGGCTTATTTCACTGAGCATAATACCCTCCAGCTCCATCAATGTTGTTGCAAATGGTAGGATTTGTTTTCTTCTTATGGCTGAATAATATTCCATTGTGTGTACGTACCACATCTTCTTCATCCATTCATCTACTGATGGACACTTAGGTTGTTTCCATTTCTTGGCTATTGTAAATAGTGCTGTGATAAACATAGGGGTGCATCTGTCTTTTTCAAACTGGGCTGCTGCATTCTTAGGGTAAATTCCTAGGAGTGGAACTCCTAGGTCAAATGATATTTCTATTTTTAGTTTTTTGAGGAACCTCCATACTCCTTTTCACAACGGTTGAACTAGCTTACATTCCCACCAGCAGTGTAGGAGGGTTCCCCTTTCTCTGCATCCTCGCCAGCATTTGTTGTTCCTAGTCTTTTGGATGGTGGCCATCCTTCCTGGTGTGAGGTGATATCTCATTGTGGTTTTAATTTGGATTTCTCTGATGACTAGCGATGTGGAGCATCTTTTCATGTGCCTGTTGGCCATCTGAATTTCTTCTTTGGAGAACTGTCTGTTCAGCTCCTCTGCCCATTGTTTAACTGGATTGTTTGCTTTTTGTTTGTTGAGGTGTATGAGCTCTTTATATATTTTGGATGTCAACCCTTTATCAGATCTGTCATTTATGAAAGATTCTCCCATACTGTAGGATGCCTTTTTGTTCTATTGATCGTGTCCTCTGCTGTACAGACATAGGAAAACAGCTATATATCTAGTAATGACTCACTTCAGGATCTTCTCCATAATTAATATCCCTCTATTATTTAAGTACTATTTATGTATCAGCCATAGGGAAGACAGAATCTTGAGGGACAGGAATATAAACTTGTTTATCACAATATAAACTCGTTTATCACTAAACAAATAGAATAAAAGTCATAAAAATAGATTAAAAGACTGAACAATGAAATGTAATACATGAACCTTGACTTGATAATCTACCATTAAAAATGTATTTTACCACTAAATCAACAAAAAGGACAAAAACCACATGATCATCTCCATAGATGCTGAAAAAGCATTTGACAAAATTCAACATCCATTCATAAAAACTCTCAACAAAATGTGTATAGAGGGCAAGTACCTCAACATAATAAAGGCCACATTTGACAAACCCACAGCCAACATTATACTTAACAGCGAGAAGCTGAAAGTCTTTCCTTTAAGATCGGGAACAAGACAAGGAAGCCCACTCTCCCCACTTTTATTCAACATTGTTCTGGAGGTCCTTGCATGGCAATCAGACAACACAAATAAATAAAAGGCATGCAGACTGGCAAGGAAGAAGTCAAACTGTCCCTGTTTGCAGATGACATAATATTGTACATAAAAAAACCCTAAAGAATCCACTCCAAAACTATTAGATTTAAAATCTGAATTCAGCAAAGTTGCAGGATACAAAATTAATACATAGAAATCTGTTGCATTCCTATACACTAATGATGAACTAGCAGGAGGAGAAATCAGGAAAACAATTCCATTCACAATTGCATCAAAAATAATAAAATACCTAGGAATAAACCTAACCAAGGAAGTAAAAGACCTATACCCTGAAAACTATAAGACACTCTTAAGAGAAATTAAAGGGGACACTAATAAATGGAAATTCACCCCACGCTCTTGGCTAGGAAGAATTAATATTGTCAAAATGGCCATACAACCTAAAGCAATCTACAGATTCAATGCAATCCCTATCAAAATACGTACAGCATTCTTCAACAAACTAGAGCAAATCATTCTAAAATTCATATGGAATAACAAAGGACCCTTAATAGCCAAAGCAATCCTGAGAAGGAAGAATAAAGCATGGGGAATTACACTCCCCAACTTCAAGCTCTACTACAGAGCCACACTAATCAAGACAATTTGGTACTGGCACAAGAACAGACCCATAGACCAGTGGAACAGAATAGAGAGCCCAGATATAAACCCAAGCATATATGGTCAATTAATATACGATAAAGGAGCCATGGACATACAATGGGGAAATGACAG